AGAACTTGCTCTTCAGTTTCTGTCAAAATCACCTGATGTCCTATAAAATATATTTTTATGTGTTAAATCGTTTGATTAATTCATTAGAAAAATCTTTGTGGAAGAAAAATAATAGTTTACCAGCACGTTTCACATGTTTCTTGTGAATTTTATTAGAGATAGTATTTCTGGGGATTTTGTTCTTCCGAGAAGCTTCTGCAATCGACATACCACCAGCAACTGCTTGCAAACATTGTTGCAGCTTTTCTAAAGTGTAATCACAGTAGTTTCTTGTTCCAGGTATTTTTTTATAACGTCTGACAATTTTTCTGTTGAAAAAAAAAACGAATGAAACTTTGCACAAAGTAGCCCCACGGTGCATTTTTTTTCATTTTCTATTTATTTGTTATTAATTTTCCAAATTTTTTAACGCTAACATGATATAATTGTTTATTAATATATAAATAAAAAATTTTGCACTTACGACGATTGTTTTATCAACATCTTTGCAATTCACAGCTAAAGTTTCCACGCACACTTTTTGACGTCCGACATTCTCGGAAAGTTGTTGACATTGGATAAACAAAACACACTCTGAGATTGTTTTAAAATTCGAAAAAATGTTTCTAGTAATAGAGGAGACTTCTATCTTCAAATTCCACACATTTTAAGGTGAAAAAAAACATACTGAATAGCAGCACTTGAAAAGTGCCAAATTCGACTTTGCACAAAGTAACACAAAGTAGCCCCACATGACGGTACTAAAGATCTCTGTAAATAATAGTGCTGATTCAAAACAAACAACATTATTTAAACATTTTACTTTAGATATTGATTTAAAGAAAATATGATTAATGAAATGTTTAAAGGATTAAAAGTAGAAAATCTATAAATCACAATTTTCTATCAACCACATAAGGGTGGTATAACCAATGAAATTTGCAATTAAGATATTTCTATAACTAAGCAAGAACTATTAACTTTTTACTTTGTTTTCTAAGAGGTTAAAACTTCAAATGCTAATCAAAACAAAATTGCTTAACATGTTTGTTGCTAGTACTTATGCTGCTGAAAATTTTATTTTTTTTTCTATAAAAAAGTAAATACCTAAGTGCATATTTTGTGTTAAGTATCTAAGTATTATTTTAAAGCATTTTAAAATTGATCTGTTCCTGACAGTATTGCCATACATGGTTGGTAAGTTTGAAGTGAAGTGATAAGTAAAATGATCTATATAATGCAAAATCCCATAAAACGCAAGGTTTCAAGGTTTGCACTATGAGGATCTTTTACTGTAAATTGTTAAGTTTCAAAGCAGAAAAAAAATTTAGAAATATATTGATGTATGATCATCATTTTCTTTTGCTTCATAAAAATATATTACACAATACTTGTCCAATACTGTGCAAAAACTACTTAAAGTAACACATAAAAGCATTTTTTATTCAGTAAAAGCAATATATTCTACTAGCTAAACATATTATTTTCTCCACATCTATCTTAATTTTTTTTAAAAATTTAATGTTAAAATTTAAATGAAAATTAAATTTTAAAAAATGAAAAACTATACTTTGCTAAATTGTCAAAATGAATCTAACTATTTCTTTCAAGATTATATATTAAAAAAATTTCATCTGAAATAAATACTTTAGAATATTGGTACTTAACTTGGGGATTAAATATACATTCTATGGTTTCTAAGGAAAAAAACATGCGGACCCGGAAACTTTAAGATTTTAACCTGGATAAATCAGGGTAATTTGATACCTGATTTTAGTAGCCAGCCTGTGAAAGAAAGAAACTTGTTTTGGAATGAAAAGATTTTTGGCTCTTATTCAGTGCTTCTCAACTCATTTTTCTCTGTATACCAGTTTAGAAGCCCTTGAAAATTTCTGGTCTATCTTAAGTATTCAGTCTTTCAAAACATTTTAAATAATTGGTTTGTTGATTTTCTCTGATGTAAATTACTATGGACTAACTATAAATATCAATGGAGTATTTATCCAGCAGCTTAAAAGATTTAAAAGATAACTTTACCTTAAACAAATTCAATATTAATGCTAATAAACTATTAAAGTCCAATTCTAATTTAAACCAGTTTTTTATTATTTAACTGTGAGTCAGTCCCAACATAATGTAGAAATGGTGAGATATTACTCGCTTCAACAAATTCTCATAGTTTAGAGTTAGACTTATCTCTAAACCTTCTATAAAAGTTTTTAAAAAAAATTTTAAATTTTGTGTTATGTATATATGAGAAACTTTTTCTCAAAGTATAATCTGAAATTGATAAAATGTTAATAGGCATTGTATCTTTTGCATTAAGGTGTTTATAAATAGTTTATTCCTTTATGTACTTTAAACATTTCTTTCTTAAAAACAATGGCTGACATAATTACAGACTCTTAACACCATCAATTTTCAATAAATTTACTTATAGATTTTTACAAAATGTATTTAACTAATGTTTGATTGCAGTTAAGCACTTGATTAATTAAATGTTAAAATCCTGAAATTTAAAGTGATTCTAGTTTAGTAGGTTGACTTTTTATTATCAATCTACTAGGTGCAACTGAAGCTACATGAATGATACACTAACTTTCGAGAAAACTCTACTAAGGAGCACAGGATTAAAAAGTAAAAATAATTTGACTTTTGACTGCTAAATAAAACTTAAAGAAGTTTCTGATGAAATTAGATAGAGATTGTATTGGGTGTACAAATATGTTTCCAGTGTTTTCTATCAAAAATTAGCAGTTTATTGTGAAAAATGGTACAGTATCTTTTAATCAAAGTATTCTCCATTACTAGACAAGACTTTTTCCCATCTTTCTGGTAGCATTCGGATACCACGTTGGAAGAACTCTTCATCTTTTGAGGATGTCCACAAATCAACCTAATCCTTGGTTTCTTCAAATGATGTAAATTTCTACTGAGAAAGACGATGTGCCATCAATCGGAACAGGTGATAATCTGAAAGGGCAAGGTCTGTCGAATGTGGCATTAGGGGTTGGACTTCCCATTAAAGTGTTTCTGAATAGCAAAGTCAATTTTCATGCAAAATCGATGCTCAATGTTTCTTGGCCTCAGTTTGTATGGAACCCAACTTCCTCGTTTTTTGGATCATTTTCAACAACTTTAAACGATGTGAAATTGCTTCCTGAGTCACTTGTAATGTGCAAGTTCTTTTTGCATTTGAGAGGAATTTTCTTCCAATAATTCTTCAAATTCCTTGTTTTACAATTTCAGCCTTCCACTGCATTCTTTGTCTTCCGTGTCAAACTCGCCTTTTTTAAACTTCTGAAACCACTCACGTCAACTTCCCTCGCTCAAAGCAGCCTCACCATATGCTTCTCCAAGCAATCGATGCGCCACAGCTGCAGATTTCTTCAAATTAAATATGTGAATCAAAAGTTCCCCCCCAAATGATGCTTATTTGGTGCAAAACTTGACATTTTTGCACGAAAACAGTTACATAAACAGGGCTAGGCGTGAGTCACTTTTCTCACTTAATGTCACTATCTTAAAAAATAGTAACTTTTATTCACTGTTTTTAAGGCTTAGTCACTTATCTCACTTTTTTTATATTTAAATTTCATAATTTTCTCCCCAATTCAATCAAAAGAAAGATTTCACATTTCCCTAAACTAATGATATTACAATCCTCTTGCTCAAGTAAAGAAGGACTTACTCAAATGGGTGGGGCAAGAAGAGGATTGAATATGTGAAGAAAAATTGACAATTTCCACTTTCAAATGAATTCCTCTTGAAATGCAAGAGAGCCATTCACTGTATCGAGGAATGATTTTATTCATCATCTATCTTTACTCTCATTTTCTTACCTGCTGTCAAGCTGCAGAACATGAAATTTTGTATATTTCTCCTTGAATTGAATTTCTTTTTTCTGTAGGGTTCATTCGTACCTTAAATCTGCTTTATAGAGTATAATTTTGCATCATAGAAATTAAGCACTCTTAAAAGTTCTTATTTTATATTAAAAGTTCTTATTTTTTCTTCAAAAGAAAAAACGTAGATAAAATGTTTACTTTTACATTATATTTTTTATTATTATTTTTTTTCCTTTTTCAAAAATGTGATTATTTTTTAATAAGATGTTGTTATGTCGTGCGAATTTGAGTAATCTCTTTTTGACATGAAATTTCATACCGTTAGTTGTTTTTTTTAAAAAATTAGTTTTGATATCAGTAGTTATTAAGAATTTTTCACTCCTTTCTATGTGATTTTTTTAATTGTGCTGTTTTTGATGCAATGTTATAACACACAAATTTTAAATTGAAGAATTTCAAATTGATTCACCATAAATTTACTTGGTTTTATAATCGATTTATCAGTCAAATGATTGGCAATGTTTAGCTAATTTTTTTTCCACATGATTCTTTAAATATCCATATTTTATCTAATATGATGCTTATTATGTTACGTGTATTTTAGTGACAACTATTATTTTTTTACATTACCATCGTTGAACAGCCGACCTAATGTTTGGGTTTACGACTACTAATGTTCAACTCCATAACCTTGTAATTTTGAACTAATCCAGAAGACAAAGAAACTCTTGGATCAGTACCCCCAGAGGTGTTGATATGTTATAGGAACATCGAGGACTTTGTGACTCAACAGATTTAACGAGCACCAGTAACCATTTACTACACAGACAGTCTTCAGCCGTCAGAGATGGAACCCACGACCTCTTGGACATGAGCCCAGTGCCCTACCAACCAGGCTATCCCAGCCCTAGTAACAATTGCGAAGATTGTTCATGGACGTATTTGATTTCATTGTGATTTCTTAGTTTTATTTCCAGTGTTTACCTTAGGCATTCATGCAAATTTTTATAATTTTTTTAGCCCTTTTCTCGTCGTTTTTTTAATATGATGTTATTACTACTTGCCTTTTTCACCTTAAAGTTAAATTTTATTTCACACTCGATTCAGGGTGATTACGTTGTAAATTAATGTTGTTTTCCGAAAGTTTTTGCATTTATTTAATTTCATATTAATGCAATGTTATATTTTTGATTAATGCGATATTGTAACAGCTCTCGAATTTCAGTTTTCAGTAATGACAATTTGTTAATGATTTATTCATAAATGACTTTTAACGCGCTTAGTTCTATTGTGATTTCACTTTTTTCTCCTGAGAATTTTTTCAACCATTTTTATTTTTTATACAATGTTATTATATATGCTTATTTCGAATTTAACCCCTTTAGGACAATGATCACTTGTGTCTCACATATTTCAAATTTTGATACTTTTAATGCAATATTATTGTTATTTATTTCATTAATCACTTTTGGCACTTTCATTTTGCGCCATTTCTATTGCAAAAGCATAATTTTTTTTTTTGCAATAATAATTATTTAACGTTTTTTCTGTTCTTCACATTCTTTTTTAACTCCTGAGGAGAAGCACCTCTCAATAAATATGTATTTACTTTACATGATTGCAGCAATATTTTTGTTATACACTTTCGCTGCTTCTTTAATATACTTAAAGCCATAGTAGCTAAAGTTAAACATAAACTTTTTTTTAGTTGGGAAGTTATTTTTTTTAAATACTTATTATGTATTTTTTATTATTACTTTTTTTTAAAATTTCAATCGCAGTAAACTAAAGCAATAAACAGCTCCAGTAATAAATGTTTCTAAACCAATTTTTTTTTTTAAGTGGTATATTTTTATGGCTATTAGGATGTTGCCTGAATATTAACACTGATTTTAATTAAGTGACTATTTATCACTTTTTTCACTACTTTTTCTGCAATGACCAGTGTTGAGCCCTGTGTAAAGCAAATACGGAATCACCATAACTTTAAGGTTATGTTTTTACCAGACGAACAAACTTACAATAAGACATTTAACAACATTCAATTTCTACATAACCTTCTGGTAGTTCCATCTTGTGAGGAACGGCAGGAACTTATTTGTGCACCTAATATAATACTTTTGATTTTGCAGTTCTTAGCAAAATCAGCTTATTTTTATGCCTTCTCTCCATTAATCTATCCCTCAAAGTGATGCTAAAAAAGCTAGCTTAGAATAGCATTGTTATTTTTAGGAAATTATCTTTTGTAGTAATTAAGCAAAACTCATCACAACAGCATTAAAACATGTATTGGCAAAATTTTTTTTTATATTTTAAAAGGCAATCCTGAAATTACAGCTATTAAATACTGTTTCACTTTTCACAAAGGCATTTTGCTCATTTATAAAGTCAATATTTTTGAATATCCTTGGGTAAAAAGTAGAGGTTAGATTTTTGTAATCAAGAGAGCACTTCTTATAAACTATCATTGAAATTGAGACTTTTGAAACGGTGCTATAATTGTCCATATCTAAAGCAGTAATATTTTCTCTCCATCACCATACTAAAGATATTTACTTTTTCTGGCATCATAAGAAGCTGTTACAAAGGCTATTTTAAAAAATACACAAGTGGGCGACCTTTGTGCTGAAATACAAACTAAGGTAAACAATGTGCAACAGTTGCACTGATGAAGGTTGCCCTTTGAGCATCCGAAACAGCTGTCTGCTTTTAATAATATTTTTGTGCTCTTTAACGTTGTTTACCTTAGTTTGTAAAGGCTATTTTGTTTATAAAATTTCATTTTTAGTTAAATTAATAGTTTTTTGTTAAATTGTTTTCGTTTTCAGTCAATTTAAGAAAAATTAATGTATTCTTATTGTTATTCTGTCATTTAGAAGTATAATTAATTAGGCTTAAATAGATTAATTACTGCCATTTCTGTTGCAATTTTTTAAAAAAGTGGTAAAGAAATCAAACTTCTCTCAAAATGTCCCAATTTTAACATTTTCTCAATGTAACATTAGAGTTAAAAACAAAGTTTAAAATAATTAAATAATTATAGAAACTAAACCATTTTAAAATTATCTTTCAGAATTATATACAAAAAATATGCTTGAAATATTTTTGTAAAGATCAAGCTATCAGAAAATTGTAATTACAGAAGCCTGAATACATTTTAGCAATAATAATAATCTAGTAACTCTAGTAATGACACTCATAATGCGTAAAACTAATGAAAATTGTTATTTTCAATTCTGAGCTTAACACTTTGATTATGGGTAATTTTCTGTCCATCAAAATGGTTTTGCAAATAGCTTGGTTCCCTTATATGTTTTAAACTTCCTTGTCCTAATGTTTTAGAATTCATTTAGCCTGCAAGAACCTGAAGCATATCATTATCATCTAAATTCTAAATTTTTATGCAAGAAACACTAGTATTGTTTATAGTATTGGAATCACCTCTTTTCATGACCACTCTCAACTAGTTTTATCCAACACATTTTTTTTAAAACTTACCAAACTATTACTAAAAATATATTGCATAATCTTGCTAGTAATAATATTAAAACTGATAACTAATTTATCTACATTTAATCTGCTTTTCTTTTAAAGTTGCCAACTGAGCGAAAGTCAATCACTCAATTCAGACGGTCTAGAGAAGAGGGGCATTATACTCTGGATGGTATAAGCGAAAGAGGTTTGGCTAAACTGCATAAACAGGTACATTTTAAGATTATAAGCAAATTATTTTAATATTTTGTACATTTTGATCTTAATGAATGAAGTATAGAATGATGAGACTCTTATATATCGTACTTGACTTTGTGTAGTGTGTTAGTCACAATTTTTGCAACGAAAATAAGTTAGGAGCAAAATTACTCCACAGTTCTGGGATGACAGATGGTTTATTGTTAGTAATTACCAAGAATTCGTTTAAAATCCTATTAAACAATAGGACAAAGGGAAAGGTTAAAAATTTTTTTTTTAAAGAACTTGAAATGAAATATTTTTAAATAGGCTAGAAAAAACTTAAATGAGTATTTTCTGTCCGCTAAATTTTTATTCCATCACTGAAATACTATTAAAAATAAAATATATAGTTAATTTTATCTTTGTTCATTATGTTTCGTAATTGAAGGGCTCCCAAACTTTCCATGTTGTGGCACCCTTATATAGCTTATTCTATGATATTTGAAATAATCTCACCTCACACTCATGTTCAACAGTACAATTGTTATTATATGTTTCTTATATACCTAGTGTATACAACTCTATCTTAAAAATCATTCAAGTACTTAAATTGTAAATAATAGAAAAGCATTAAATTGTAAATAATAAAAAGCATTATTTTTATATTGTTATTCTGTACAAGAAAATATAAACAAAAAGAAGTTACCGTCCCCAATAAAAGGTATCATGAATTCGTTTCATACGATGGTTGAGCTTGCTGCTCATTACATAACTTTTTAAATCGCAGAATAAAGCTTAATATGACTGCTCACATTTGTATTTTAATATTAATTTTCAAGCTTTTTAAAACTGTTGAAAACCTAACTGATATGAAATAGCATAGAGAATGCTCATAACTTTTTCACTTGAAGCACTGTCTTGCCTTTTTCCCTTTTGAGTAGCAACAAATAACTATAAAATAACTTATACTAGACTTTAAATCATAGGCACTAAACACTTCAAGGCATTTCACATTTGGAAAGCCCCCGTTGTAATGAATTTGCTAAATCCTAATCTGAGCAAAAAAATAAGCATAGCAAGGTGTTGGTCTTTTTATTTATTTATTTATTTTTTGTTCATTTTCTGTCCATAGTATTTGGAAATTAAAACATAACAATTTCCATTTCTTTGTCAGTATCACTGTGGTTAAAGCACAATAGCTTTTTAATGTGTAGTATATCAAATTCATATGATGTACAATATGTAAAAATATTCTACCAATCCTCTGACAATGCATTCTTAGATCTCCATATTTTAAAAGAAATAAAAGAAATTTTTTTATTTTATCAAATTTTATTCTTCTTTACAAATTTGGAATTCGATGTTAAAGAGGTGATAGACGAACTTTTTTTCATTAATTACAATTTTCTTTTCATTTGCCACGTGTCTTATCACTTCTTAAAAAATGTTAAAAAAAACTATTATACTAAACATTTTGTGATCATGGCAAATTGTAATCATGCTGTACCGTACTACATATAAAATTAATATTCAAGTGATCAATGTTTTCATGGTGCTATATTTCAGATACAATGGAGTATTTTAAATTTAATTTTTAACATTCCAATGTTGAAAAAAAAATTTGTAGGTCATGTAGCAACACAGATTAAAACTGTCACTGTGTAATCTTCTTATGAACCCAAATAGACCAAAATGTGTGATATGAATAATGTCATATTTTACTTTTGACTATACTCTCTTAATTAACCAAAAATTTAATTAAATTGTTTACTTTTATGCCTAAAAAATATAAATCCCTTGGAAAAAAAATAGCTAACACCCTCCCTTATGTAAAATCTATAAATTGAAAAAAAAATCTGCTAAAAAGCCACTCTTAATATTAGACAAAAAAAAAGAAAGAAAATAAATCAATCAAATCAACTGCTAAACTATGTCCAACCCATGTTTGGCATTTAAGGAGAAAAAATTTCCCTTGAAATTTAATCTAAATTTAACTTATCCTTAGAGTTATGAAACCACCTTTTTGTCATGTAATGCTTTTACATTTTTTGTTTTAATAAACAATGTTAAAAACAATGACCAAGTTTTCTGTATGGGTGAAAAAAAGTCTTTAAAAAGGGATAGATGGTTAGTGAAACCAATTTTTAATGCTAAAACGATTTACAATACCGTAATTTCTATTAGATACACCATACCCATGAAAAATATTTCTAAAATGATCTATTATTATTGTATAAGCTACAATATAAAAATAAAAGAATTAAGAAATGGATCCCAAGTTAATGAAACTACTTTATAAAGTTAGGCTATTTTTATTACTAGCCCTTTTGGCTTTATCATGAAATATTCAAGAGTTACACTTAAATATTCAAGAAGCAGTTTTGAAACTCTTTCTCATCCTCAAAGTAAATCAACTTATAATAATAACAATTTCAAAAATTTGATCAAAGCAAGCTTAACAATCATTAATTTTTCAGGGATGTGATTCTTCCGCAAATTCGCGGATTTCCGTTTTTTTCCAGATTTTTCCATTTTTTCCGCTAATTTCGGCGGATAATATTTTTTGGACAAGTTAAAATATTTTATGAGGAATCTATATTTATTTACAATTTTCAAAGATAAACAGAAAATTCAAACTACGTCCTAGCTGCTAACCCTTCCGCATTTTTACTTATTTTAGCTATTTTCTCGACTTTTAATCACAGAAAATAAGATTTTCCATATTTTTATCCGCCCGCCGGATAGCTCATATTTTTTGCAATTCAGATGTCGCTGCTTCCTGTTTTCAGGCGTGAAATCAAACGAAAAAAAAAATAATTTGAGGTAGATTTGCAGAGGAAATATATATTTGCTCATTCAATTAGTCTTGTAAATTTTTATTTATTATGTCTAAACAAAAACAATACTAACAAAAATTTTAGAAATCCCAAGTCCAGATTCTGCAAATATCTCGATTCTTTTTCACGCGATTTTAATATCAATCATTGATTTTCGTATTTACCTGATTTAAAAGTTGCGCATTGCGATTCTTATTTACGCTATTTAAATATCGTACATTATGATTCTTATTTACAGGATTTTAAAATCCAATATCGCGTTTTATATTTACGCGCTTTTAAAACCTTATGTAGCGATTCGTACTCATGCTAGCTTAAAATCTAATGCATAGATTTGTTTTTGCGGTTGTAATATTAAACATCGATTTTCGTATTTATATGTGCTTTAAAAATTACACATTGGGATTCGCATTCGCGCGATTCAAAAATTATGCATCGTTATTCTCTATTTACATAATCTAAAAATTATGCATCATGATTTGTATTTTCACATATTTTAAATTCGATACAGAGCTTCATATTCATGTGAATTAAAAGCCTCATATTGGGATTCATATCCTCTCAATTTAAAATCATTCATATGATTCATATTCATACAATTTTAGAATTAATCATCAGGACTTATAATCACATGGTTTAGAAGTTTAAAAATCACACTTTTTTTTGTCAAATATTTGTGTGTGTGTGTATATAT